GGATGAAAAGTTTGATTCAAACAAATGATACAATTTTTATCGTTAATAGCATTCAAAACATTGATTTCCGAAAACAATTCACAATTAATTTGATTATTATTTTGTAAACTATTTATATATTTATCACATTTTTTGGCCAATAATTTATATCTCAATAACTCTGTTGTCAAGCGATTCACAGATTGTTTCAATTCACACACAATTAGACACAATTCACTTCGACTTAAGCTATGGATATCACCACTAATTGATCCCATGTTTTGACAATCAAATAACACTTTAATTAAAACAAAATAATTAATTCAAAGTAAATAAACAAAAATGTAAACAGAGTTCACACGTGTTTTAGCGTTAGACATACATTACGTCCGGAAAATAACATACAAACTTAACTTTTATGCGATAATAAAAAGCACTTTTATTTCGAGCAAATGATCAATATTATTGCATTTGACCAATGATGAGCAAGCACGAGAAATGGTATTGTACATTGTATGGTATCTGTAGTAGAGATGGAGTGCATGTACATAATTTGCTCGACATAAAAGTGCTTTTTATAATCGCATAAAAGTAATACTAAAACTTTCAATACTTTCAGAACCATTAAGTTAAAGTATCTATGACATAAAGTATCTATGTCAATTTTATATGGCTGGACGGCTGGCCCGCAGTGTTTTACGTGATATCTGTGGCACACATTCCGTGGGCTATACTCTGGGTATTGTGTGTCGAAAACACACCACTTATTAGTAATACAAATGGGATTATCAAGTGTTCAGACCGTGAACTCCAGTACATCGACAAACATAACACCTCTTTCGGCGCACCAAAAGTATTACCATTACTATTAAACTCAAAGGCCGACTGTTTATGAATTGCTTGTCTTTTATGACCGAAGCTATCGATCGATGGATTCACGGGAACTATCGGTCAGACAATTACTGACCGATTATATCGATCGGTATTTTCGACACCAATACATGGCTTTCAATATATTTGCAATAAATCTCAAGTTTTTATTTGCTTTTATCGGTTCTGTCATTACATTCATTGTTTTATTAATACAGTTATTAAAGTAAACTAAAATGTTGTGTAGTTTTGATTAAAATAATATAAAAAACATTAAATTGCACAAATGTTTCTCAATATTATTGAAGGCTACTTAAGATTGTTAAAATGTTAACAATTAATTATTTGTAAATAATAAATATTAATTATTAATGTTTTCAAATTATTATATTTATATTTTAGTAGATATTTATTGATTAAAATATTTTTATATTTCAATGAATTGCCGATATATAAAATGTACATTTATATTTTTGTTGATGCAAAATGCAAACAAATGCAGTGATTGTTTTGCTCAAAACATAGTTACCTAGAGTTTTTTGCATTAAATCGATAAAAATTAATTTGATGTATGATATGAGTTGAGAAATATTTTATATAGTTAATGTACCTTTATGACTATTTAAATAAATACCTCTTTGTCATCATACAATGTATATAAGAATATTTTTCTAAACACTCGATAAGTTTGCAGTTAATTAAACGTGGCTTTAAACACAATGTCTGGTCTAAAAATTCTGGTTAATTACCAGAGAATAACTGGAATTTCATATTTTAACTATAATTATGGTCAAAAACAATCGATCGTTAAGAAAGTGTTGTTATTTATGTGGACTTTCTTACTATCCATAGTATTAATCCATAAAAACTATGGATTACTATACGATCTCATCACTCAATCCAATCCTATACTAATCACTGGTTCAAAAAAGTCACAATTAATTAATATATTGTATTATTCGGGAGCATTTGGTTACGCTATGTCG